TCTCCCCCTTGTTCCTCCGTCAAGTTCCTCCTAATCCTCCTATACGTTGAGGCACATTTTTTAAAAGGGAGGGCCCAAGTTCTTGATTAAGGAGGAGATTAGATTTAATAAAATACTGACAAATAGAGCACCGAAGACTAAAAATACAAGATAAAATAACTAGCCCTTGGGGAGCCTGGGTGGCTCAGTTGGTTCTCTCTCTTGATTTCATCTCAGGTCATGATCCTAGGCTCGTGGAATGGAGTCCCATGTCAGGCTCCACACTGAGAGTGGAATCTCCCTGAGCACACGCGCTCTCGCTCTCGCGCTCTGACCCTCTCCTCTGCTCATGGGTTTTCTGTCTCTAAAAAATAAAAAGTAAAAAAGATAACTAGTCCTTTAATCAGGTCCAAGTCTGAGAAGACGATCTTTGCAAAGAATAAGAATGATGTGAGAGCTGGTGGGATAGTAGCCAAGCACCAAGCTCTAATGACCATATTTATTCTCCTATTTCAATTCTTTATTCCCATAAACAGGAGACAGGGCAGTGATATTGTGTATAAATAAAGTCAGGGGTGCTTGTGTAGGTCAGTCGGTAGAGCCTGCAACTCAGTCTCTTGGAACATGAGTTTAAGCTCCACCTTGGGCATAAAGCTTACTTGACAAAAAAAAAAAAAAAGGCAACCTGCTTTTGTGTAGAAAGTGTTGAGTTGGATTGCCTTGGAATCAATGATGTAAAGAAATGGTCTTGGTTTTCCGACCAGGTCTTTACATGCTAGTGACCAGTGACGGCTCTAGCGTCTAGTCTTCAATAGACTCTCCCCCAAGTGGTTCTAATAGGTCTGGCACTCTGCAATTTCATCTGCCTCCTCTTTCACCACTCGCTATTGTGGTGGTGTTTTTTTTTGTGTGTGTGTGTTTTGTTTTTTAAGTTTATCCTGAGAGAGCTTTAGCAGGGGAGAGGAAGAGAGGGCAACAGAGAATCCGAAGCCAGTTCTCCGCTGTCAGAGCAGAGCCCCACATGAGGCTCGATCAGAAGAACCTTGAGACCATGACCCGAGCTGAAATCAAGAGTTGGACACTAAACCAACTGAGCCACCCAGGAGCCCCAGTTAATATTTTTTGCCACCATTCATACTGTTTTACGTCTCCATTCCTGCCCCCAAGTTACAAACACTTGGGAAAATATAAATGGACCACTGCAGATATTTTGGACCCTCCATGCTGTATATCTTATTCTTTTACTGAACTTCAGTTTCTTTCCACAAAGATTGCAGCTTTTACTGTTTTTGAACTTCCAGTACTATATAGTAGGTGTGGGAAAAATATTCACTGAATGAGTACAAGTCATTTGATTCCCCCCTCCCTCATCTCCTTACTCAGCAACTAAGTCTCAAGTTTAATAAATCCTTATCTGGGGCGCCTGAGTTACTCAGTCGGTTAAGTTGGCTCAAGTCATGATCTCACAGCCTGTGGGTTTGAGCCCCATGTTCGGCTCTGTGTTGACAGCTCAGAGCCTGGAGCCTGCTTTGGATTCTGTGTGTGTGTCTCTCTCTGCCCCTCCCCCTCTCGCGCTCTGCATCTCTCAAAAAAGAAAGTTAAAAAAATAAGAAAACCTTATCTTTAAAAACATCATTAGTCGAGGCTCCTGGGTGGCTCCGTAGGGTAAGCATCTGACTCTTTATCTCCTCTCAGTGTTGTTAGCTCAAGTCCTGAGGTGGGCTCCTTGCTGGGCGTAAAACCTACTTTAAAAAAAAAAAAGGCATTAGGCATGTTCTCCATTTCTAGCTTTCTAGTTTATGATGGCATGTGTTTTGAACTTATTTTCTGTAGATCGTGATATATCCTCCACCCATACTATCCAGAAGACCTCCTCCACTCCCGTAGTTTCTAACTATGTTTTGCGCACTTTCTTGAGCCTTGCTCAAGTATTCCATTGTATTCTTTCTTCAGTCTGGACTAAGTGTTAAAGAACACAAAAACTTAACCTTTCCTACTTCGTTCCCATTATTGAGATTCCACAGAGTAGCTTATGGTTATATGTGCCCTCCAAGTGCCTCAAGTCTGAAATGTTTGTATCACCATTCCACTGATGACCGGTGATAGCCTAAAAGGAGACTCTGATGTGATAGGCTCTATCCTGTTTTATCTGTTAGCATCAGGAACATTTGCTCCTTACTTGGGAATCTTCTTCCTTGATTCCTAGGATTGTCATGCCCAATGTCTTTAGTGGCTCTTCCTCAGCAAATCCTGGATATTTTTTAAAAAAGATTTATTTAAGTAATCTCTACACCCAACATGTGGCTTGAACTCAGGACCCCAAGATCAAGAGTTGCATGCTACACAGCCTGAGCCATCCAGGCATCCCAAAGATGTTTATATATATATGTATATTTTTTTATATTTATCTTTGAGAGAGAGACTGAGAGAACGTGAGCAAAGGAGTGGCTGAGAAAGAGAAACAGAATTGGAAGCAGGCTCCAGGCTCTGAGCTGTCAGCACAGAGCCTGATGTGAGGCTTGAACTCAGGAACTGCAAGATCATGATCTGAGCCCAAGTCAGATGCTTACCTGAGCTACCCAGGTGCCGCAGGATGTTTATATTTCTAAGAAGATGAAGAAATTATAAAACTAAAGGAAAAGTTATCTATAGTTAAGTTACTCAGTCACTGTTTTTGTTTTTTTTTAAATCACCTTTTTGTTTCTCTTTGCAGGAACGTGTTTTGACATAGCTGTATTTATACATACGCATAAATCTTTTTTTTAAATGTTAATTATTTAGAGAAAGAACAGGAGCAGGAAAGGGGCACAGAGAGAGGGTTAGAGAATCCCAAGTAGGCCCTGTGCTGTCAGTGCAGAGCCCAGTGTGGGGCTAAGTCTCTTGAACTGTGAGATCATGACCTGAGTCACCCCCACATGCATAAATCTTATGTCTCTTTTTTACCTTAACAGAATAAGAACATTTCTCTTACACATAACATTCACAAACAATTCTAATGGTATTTTATGAAGTGGATGAACCATAATTTGCTCTAAGATGTTTATTTTTCCAATTTTTGCTGTGAATAATAATTCATGAACATCTTTGCACAAGTATTTTATTTTGAGATTGTTTCTAAAAATAGTTTACCAGCATTTTAAGACTTTCTATTAATATTACCAGACTGCATTCAAAGAGATTGAACCGATTCACACATAGATGGGGTTTAGCCTATGCATGTTTGACAGATGAATTGTTTTATGTGCTTGGCACTGTTCTCAGCACTGAACAAATAGGCAAAAGTTCTTATCCTTGTGAAATTTAAGAAGGAAAGGGGGAATGAGGACTTTAAAAAATATCTCAGCGGGGCAGGGGGCAGCGTGCCTGGGTGGCTCAGTTGGTTAAACATCAGATTCTAGCTCAGGTCATGATCTCTTGGTTTGTGGGTCTAAGCCCAGTGTCAGGCTCTGCACTGATAGCTTGGAGCCTGATTGGAATTCTCTCCCTTTCTCACCCTTCCCCCTTTTTTTTGCTCTCTTTCTGTCTATCAAGATAAATAAACAAACTTAAAATAAATACACACACACACACACACACACACACACACACACACACGTATATATCCTTTGGGGGTGCCTGGGTGGCTAAGTCGGTTTAACATCAGGCTCTTGATATCAGCTCAGGTCATGATCTCACAGTTCTGCATTGAGCCTCACATTGGGCTCTTCATGGACAGCATGGAGCCTGCTTGGGATTCTCTCTCTCCCTCTCCCCTGTTCATGCTTGCTGTCTTTCTCAAACTTAAAAATAATGTTTTGAAAGGAGAGTGTCAACATTTTTATTCCCCCTACTTACCTCTTTCCTGTTAATGGAAAAAACTTGTACTAAATCTATGTATTGGGTGGGGAGAAGGGGGAGGGATTGGGGATCCATGCTCTACGAACATTAAGGGCTATATTGGGGGAGGAATTTAAAAGAAACAAAAGATATCATTTGGCTAAATGCTATGCATCACTGCTTTGTCAGTTTTCTGATTGTGAATTTGAGCATTTATTCTTCCCCTTTGGTTTTACATGGTAGTATTCATCAGGGAGTTAGTTATTGGTACTGTCTTGATTGCAATTTGGACGAAAAGCTGGCAGATACGGATATTAAGTCACCATTGAGCAATCCACTGTGTATCAGTTACTCTGGTGTGGGAATTTCAAAATTAAGACACATTTTATGCTCTCTGAAGCCTACTATCTAAGACTGGATCTTAACCTTGGAGCCTAAGAATCCCGGGCTGCTTAAAAAAATATTTTTAAATGTTTATTTACTTTTGAGAGAAAGACAGGCAGAGTGTGAGCGGGGTAGGGGCAGAGAGAGGGAGACAGGATCCTAAACAGGCTCCACAGGCTTTGAGCTGTCAGCAGAGCCCGAGGCGGGGCTTCAACTCACCAGTCACGACAAAATCATGACCTGAGCTGAAGTCGGACGCCCTTAACCAACTAAGCCAGCCAGGCACTCCCGGGCTATGTTTTTTTTTTAAATGCAGTTTTTCAGATTCTACCTCACCCCTCACCAGAAGTTTTAATTCATTAGGTAGGGTGTGGAGGGCACAGATATTTATAATCTTAATAAGTATCCTCTGGACTGTGGTGGAGCTGCTTCGCATTGAGAAACACTACAAATAGTAGTATAGATAAATAAAAGAAATGTTAGATTTAAGTTGCCATCATTTGTAGGCTGGGAGAAGCACATGCTGGGCCCAGCTGAGGTAGAAACATTGGTCCTCAGCTCAAGAGCAGCCTCAAATCCCTGACAACTTGAGACTCAAGCTACCCCCTGGGTGGGTCCCTCTAGGTCTCTGGGCCGGCGGGAGCGCAGGGTTTACCCGGCAATCTGCGTCCGCGCTGCCGGAAGCCCCACCCTCTTTCTAGGCCCTGCCCCCTGCGCCGGTGGGCGCTGCCTTTACAGGTCCCGCCCCTTTTCCGGATGACCGCCAACGGTGTCAGAGCCGGAAGTGACGACACCAGTGAAGCCTTTGGGGCGGGGCCTAGGCCGAGCAGCTCCAGAGGCAGCGATTTCACAGCGGAAACAAAACAGCGGCTGCTCGGGAAGGAGCTTCCCCTGTGAGCGGCCGGTGGCGGCGGCGAGGGAAGAGTAGGTGCGTGATGGGGAGGTCGGGGAGAAGGGAAGGTACCCCTCACCCGGTGCGGACACGGGCGGTCGCGGGCAGGGCCCGGCCCTTTGTAGCTGCCTGGGCCGTGGAGCGGGTGTCCTAGAGGATGAAGAACGGGGCGCGGCCGAGCGGGGACCGAGGAACCGCGAGTGGGAACGCGGAGGGGCGGCCCGTTTCTCCTGCTCCGGGTGGAGCGCGCGGTCAGGTTGAAGAGCGATTCCCCTCCGGAGCTTTGTTCCGGAAGTGCTGTTTCCCGAAGATGTTTCAAGGCTCAGGTGCCCTGGGTCGGGATTAACCGTCTTGACTGGAGTGGAGCAAGAGAAAGAGGAAGCGCCTTGCCCTCTGACTGGTTGAGCAACTAGTGAAACTCCGCGCCCCATGCCCTGAGTGTGTCCTTGTCTGGGGAAACGAGTGGCACTCAGGGCTAAGTTCCTTGTGTCTGACGCTCGAGGCGGAAAACAGGGTCCGATGCTTTTACCTTGGTCGGGACGGTCGCGAAGCATGATATTCAATGCTTTACATGTGTCTTAGATATTTGCGTTATGTTCCCGTTTAGATTCTTTTCAAATAAATATGTTTTTATTGTAAGAGAGTAATTTAATAATAATTTAAAAAGCACTACTTGCTTTGGACAAGACTATTACAGTATTCAGGGTTTACGCTGGGAGAGAAGAATAGGATGCAAATAACTATGGCATGTATAATTACTGTATGATAGAGCACCCTGTAAAGCTGTAACATTCTCTGAAGTTTCATGCAAGTACAGATCACATCAGGTTAGGGAATCTTGTTATTTGAGTTCTCGTTTGCAGTAGAACAGGAAAGGTTTTCACCCCTGGAGTTAAAGTGGGAAGGGTATTATAATCAGAGGGTGTATTACAAACAGGGGCCCTCTGGATGGTAAGCGTCCAGTGACCCACTCTGACCATTAAAATAGCTTATGAAGGAGAATAGGGGCGCCTGGGTGGCTTAGTCGTTTAAGCATCCGACTTTCGCTTAGGTCATGATCTCGCGGTTCGTGGGTTCGGGCCCCGCGTCGGGCTCTGTGCTGACTGCCAGCTCAGAGCCTGGAGCCTGTTTCAGTCTGTGACTCCCTCTCTCTCTGACCCTCCCCTGCTCACGCTGTCTCTCTCTCTCCTAGAAATAAAAAAAAAAAAAAAATAGCTTATGAAGGAGAATAAAACAGAAAAGTAGATTGGAGCTTGTTGCATTTGGCTAAGTTCAGTCACCTGCAAAAGCCTGTTTCATTTCTCCGTAACTCATTTGCAGAGTTCAACCAACTTAAGGGTCCCCCATTTAATAATAAACCCTTAACAAGGAGACAAGGGTCATATTTATTGAGTGCATGAATTCTCCCTCTCCCCCCTCCCTATAGATAATAGATGTGGCATCTATCATCTGGTTTTTCATTCTTCTCGTCCTGGGTATATATTTTCTTTGAATGGGTGTGATTTATTGCTGAATTTTAAGTTAATGGCTGTAACTGTCCTAGACTGCTGCATGGATTTTCATTTAGGGGGACTGGAGGATTGAAGTTGTTCTCTGAGAACCACCCTAGCAGGAAAGTACAACATATGTCTCTTACCAAAGCTTATGAGATCCTCTTCCTCTCTCAGTTCCAAGCTTCCTCTGCTCCTGCTTTCCCCTTAATATTATTGAAGATTATAGGGAGAGACTTACTTCTTTATGGCATATTCTGAAAAACCTTTCAAAGACCTTTTAGTCCTGCCTCTCCTTCATGTGATGTTAGGCAGGTTTGGAAGGTGTTTTAAGAGTGACACTGTTGTGGTCAGAACTTTAGGCACATCAATAGTGGGGGCTAGCTGGGGCGCCTGGGTGGCTTAGTCGGTTAAGCTTCCGACTTTCGCTTAGGTCATGATCTCGCGATTTGTGGGTTCGAGCCCCGCGTCGGGCTCTCTGCTGACTGCCAGCTCAGAGCCTGGAGCCTGTTTCAGTCTGTGACTCCCTCTCTCTCTGACCCTTCCCTGCTCACGCTGTCTCTCTCTCTCTCTCTCCCCTAGAAATAAATAAAAAACATTAAAAAAAAAATAGTGGGGGCTAGAATAGATAAGAGAATAGATAAGGTGACTTTTGCATAATTCAGGTGATATATGGTGGGAGTTTGGTCTTTGGTGATGACAGGGGCTTAGAAAGGAGGAAAAACATGAACAGGACATGGCATCCAACAGAGAAGCAAGGGGTAAAGTATAAAGTCGACTAGGAGGCTTTAAGATTGGAGAAAGGAGGAAATGATTGCAGAAATAAGGAAGTTAGGAGCAAAGAACTAGTTTAGAAAGGAACATGAGGAAGTGGTTTGGAAGTATCACTTTTGAAGTGCCAGCAGGTGAAGATGTCCCATGGACAGACCTGGAGCTGTAAATAGGAAAGTCACTTAAATAGACTTTCTAGTTGATGTTGGAGAGCAATGCCTAATGAAAGGAAGGGGGCAAGGAGGCCCAGGCAGACCCCGCGGAACACTTAGAATGAAGGAGTGGAAGAAGGGCGAGGAACCAGCTGAGGAGAATGGGCGGTGGGAGGAGAACCTCCAGAGTACAGTGTCAAAAACGTTGAAGAAGGGAGGGAAGCTTCGGGAAGGAAAAAGCTGTTAGAGATTTTTAGTGTCTGGCCTGGTGTAGCAGAAAGAGCTGAAGATTTAGAGCAACACTCTCTGATAGAAACAGTGTGAGGTACAAATGTTAATTTAAACCTTTTTTTTTTTTTTTTTTTTTAAGTTTATTTGGGGGCTCCTGGGTGGCTCAGTTAGTTAAGTGGCTGACTTTGGCTCAGGTCATGATCTCACAAGTTCATGGGTTGGAGCCCCGCGTCGGGCTCTGTGCTGACAGCTCAGAGCCTGGAGCCTGCTTTGCATTCTCAGTCTCCCTCTCTCTGCCCCTCCCTCACTCCTGCTCTGTTTCTGTCTGTCTCTCTCAAAATTAAATAAATAGTAAAAAAAAAAAAATTTAAGTTTTTTTGTTTATTGAGAGGAGGGGCAGAGAGAAGGAGAGAGAAAATCACAAGGGTCTTGATCTAATAGAGATCATGAAATGAACTGAAATCAAGAGTTGGACGCTTAACCAACTGAGCCACCCAGTCGCCCCTTCCTTACAACTTTTTAATAAACAATTTATATAAAGGTAGAAGGAAATAGATAAAATTAGTTTGAATAATATATTTCATGTAACCCAGTACATCCAAAAATTTTTATTTCAACATGTAATTAATATAAAAATATACTTGTTCGACTGCCCTCTAGAGAGTTAGCTCCTTAAGTAAACAGAAGCATTATCTGATTTAATAGCATCCCCAACACCTATCCCAATGTCTGATTTTGTAGAAGAAACCCTAAAAGTGTGCGTTGGTTAAAGGGTATTAATGTTTGGTTTCACAGTGCCCCATACAGTTCCTTAAATTGACCTAAAGCAAATGAAAGAATGCAAGGATTGCTGAGTATAACCACTGATTTACAAATTAATTAGATGTGAGTAGTCATGTTTTCTTTAAATATTACTTGTATTCAACCCATTTCCATAGCGAATTTGAGACAAACTGGGGGTAATCATACCTTCCGTGTAGAGTTATTCAAAGTAAAGGTTTCTTGGGGAAAGATTCTTTAAAATTATTACAAATATTGATAATGTAAGACCATAGTCCTATATCCACGATTAGGAAAATCCAAAAGCCCCCGAAAAATCTAAAAGGCTTTGTGTAATTCATATGATAGAAAAATCTAACCTGAACATATTAATGTAATTTAAGACTACTTATATGTTTCACTGTGTATGTATATATAACATTTATTAAGTTTTTTGAGAGACAGAGCATGAGCAGGGGAGGGGCAGAGAGAGAGAGAGGGAGACACAGAATCTGAAGCAGGCTCCAGGCTCTGAGCTGTCAGCACAGAGCCTGACACGAGGCTCAAACTCACAAGCCATGAGATTGTGATGTGAGCTGAAGTCTGACACTTAACCAACTGAGCCACCCAGGCGTCTCTCACTATATATTTATTAATGTGTTTATTTTGTGGTTCTAAGACCTTGAGGGAGCATTAAAAACATACAGTATTTGCATTGTACTGCCTTTATAAAATCTTATTTATTTATTAAATCTTTAAAAAAATTTTTTTAGTGTTGTTTTATTATTGTCAAGTTGGTTTCCATATAACACCCAGTGCTCATCCTCACGTGCTTTATTTATTTCTGAGAGAGAGAGACAGCATGAGCAGGGAAGGGTCAGAGAGAGAGAGGGACAGAATCTGAAACAGGCTCCAGGATTTGAGCTAGCTGTCAGCACAGAGCCTGATGCAGGGCTCGAATCTACGAACCGCGAGATCATGACCTGAGCCAAAGTCAGATGCTTAACCTACTGAGCCACCCAGGCACCCCTACCTTTATAAAATCTGAGAAAAATATGAATTCTAAACACATTTAGTCCTAAGGGTTTCAGATAAGGGATTCTGGATTTTAAGTGGTTTGTTTTTCTTTGTTTTGTTTTTTTTTTTCATTTTCATTGAATCTTCTGAGCACATGTAACCATTATTATTTAAAAACAGTTATAGGGGCTCCCGGGTAGCTTAGTCGGTTGAGCGTCCGACTTTCGCTCAGGTCATGATCTCGCGATTCGTGGATTCGAGCCCCACGTCGGGCTCTGTGCTGACTGCCAGCTCAGAGCCTGGAGTCTGTTTCAGAGTCTGTCACTCCCTCTCTCTGACCCTCCCCTGCTCATGCTGTCTCTCTCTCTCCTAGAAATAAATAAAACATAAAAAAAAAACAAAACAATTATAGTAACTCTACATAACAGACCTCCCCAAAACTCAGTGCCGTAGAGCATTTGACTCAGGGCTTTGTGTCAAGTTGCTGGACTGTGGATCAGCTAGGGTGGTTCTGCTTAGATTGTCTTATAATGGGGCCCAGGCTGAAGGGGCAGTGGCTGCGCATGGTAAGCCCTTCTCAAGGCAACAGCAGAAGAAAAAGAAGACCAGCTTCACA